ACTTTTGCATTCCTTGTGCCAACCTAGCCATCTCAAATGCACTTATTCACACCTCTCTAGTTATAGAATCAATCCATCTCATCAAAGGTCTTCCTCTCCTCCGCCACCCCTCCACTCTACCAAACATGATGTCCCTCTCCAAGGACCAGTCCCTCCTTGCAACATGCCGAAAATATGTCAGACGAAGCTTCAGAATCCTTGACTCCAGGGAATATTCTGGCTTCACCCTCTCCAGGACAAACATGTTTGTTCTCCTCGCAGTCCATGGTATATTCAACACTCTTCTCCAGCACCACAGCTCAAAGGCATCAATTAATTCTCTTTCTATCAACCCTAGTCACTGTCCAACTCTCTGATGCATAGCACCTAATTGCGAAGACTATAACCCGGATCAGGCGCACCTTAGTCTCCAGTCTGACATCGTTGCACTTCAGTACTCTTGAGAGGTCCCTCACAGCCGACTTTCCCAATGCAATTCGTCTCTTGATTATCTGGCTGCTGTTACCAAGAGCGTTGACCGTGGAGCCAAGTAAACGAAAACTGTTAACTATCTCAATCTCTTCTCCATTCATACTGATGCTACCAATTGGCCCAGTGGTTAGAATCTTTGTTTTCTTGATGTTGAGCTTCAGTCCATACAGGAGGCTGTAGTCCTTGATCTTCTTCAGCAAGTGCATGAGGTCCTTCTCAGTTTCAGCGAGCAGGGTAGCGTCACATGCATAACGCAGGTTGTTGATGATTTTTCCACCAGTCTTGATGCCACATTCCTCTTCGTATAGCCCAGCATCTTGGATGATCTGTTCTGCATACAGATTGAAAAGGTATGGAGACAGAATACATCACTGACAAACCCCCTTCTTGATTTTGAACCATGTAGTGTCTCCTTGCTCTGTTCTGACAACTGCCTCTTGGTCCAAGTAAAAGTTTCGCATTAACACAATCAAATGTCCTGCAATTCCTATTCTTCTCAGAGTCAGCCACAGCTTATTGTGATCCACACGGTCAAAAGCCTTTGCATAGTCTTATATATATTAATACTTTTATACCAATGGAAATTAGATTAGAATGAGCACAGTTAACACCCCAAGAAGGAGGAAGAAGGGCAAAGTGAAACCCAGATGTGTCTTTAATAGTACCAAGAGATGGTCTCCTGGCCCCCAGCACATCCCAGGGCCAGGCTGCCCACTGCTCAGAGCCCAGTCTGTGCCCAGGAAAAAAGAGATAGCTAAACACACCAGGAGAGAAGTACTTCACAAACGGGGTCCTCAGAGAAGGCATCCCTGGAGGCACAAATGGCAACATGGCCACTTTCAAAAAATCATTCTCCTAAGACACAGCCCCCACCCAGGCCTTTCCGCTAGCCGAGTTTTCTTTACCAATAAAGAGTCTGATGGCTGCAAGTGTGCACAGTCCTGAAACAGCCTCACAACTAATCAGGGCTACCAAAAGCACGTAGTTTGTAGAAGCCCTGAGAATTCACAGGTTCAGAGTTCACCACTGACACTGTCCGACGGCCACATGACAATGACAGGTCATCAGACCTGTCCCACCAGGAGAGTCGAGCACATCACAGCCAGCACATGGCTGAGTCTGGAAAGTCAGTGACTCTCTTCTCTACCTGCATGCTAAAAAAGGATGTTTCCAAAGTAGGTCTCCGCAGGCCCTGGGGGAAGGCGCGTGGGCTGCGCTGAGAACAGGGTGCTGGGTTCACAGCATCGCAGCAGGCAGACCTTACCTCATCTCCTTCCGCTCCTTCTTCCACTCCTGCAGAACCACCTGCGCCTCTGCGTCTCTGTGCACCTGCCGGACACAAGCTGATTACTAAGAGCATTTTGGTCCCAAATAAACCCGTGAGGTGATCAGGGAATTTTAATGGGCAGCTTTGCTTGGAGGAATTTATTTGTTGTAAGGTATGAACACTTATGGGAAATAATATTTTTTCAGATATATCTGTTGAAATCTTGCCTTCCTCAGTATAAACACTTTTAAATGTTCAGTACTAGAAAAGCTGTATAAAAACAAAATATGGGAAGGTACAAAAGTATTAACCAATAGCCATGTATAGGCATAGTGTGTTTGTATAAGCAGGGGAGGGCTCTATGGGTGGTGCAAATAGTTAAGTACTCAACTACTAGCAGAAAGGTCAATGGTTCAAACTCATCCAGAGGCATCCTCAAATAAAGAGCAGGTGAACTGTTTCTGAAAGCTCAAAGCCTTGAAAACATCCTGGAGCAGTTCCACTCTGCACACATGGAGTCACCATGAAGTACATAAAATGTTCAACAATCATAAAAAGATGAATACACACACACACACACACACACAGCATGCTCCCTATGTATAAACATACGTTGTTTGTCTTTACATACCATCGAGTCCAAGCCAACCGATAGCTGACCCTCCAGCAGGTTTTCAGAGGCTGTAAATCACCCAGGAGCTGAATGCCCATCTTTCCCTCTTAGAGTAGCTAGTGGATTTGAACTATCTACCTCTGGGTTGCCAGCACAACTCCTTACCACAAGGCCACTAGATCTCCCTGCACATGTATTACCTATGTGTAAGCATAAAGTTATGCCATCAAGCCAAAGGTGGGTGATTTTAGTCTGCGGCCCTCAGGCCTGGTTTTACTTGGTTTTGGTTAAGCATTCTTCCAAGTGGTATAGCACTGGTCTGTCCATTTGCTGTACAGAGGTAACTCGTGGTTGCTGTGAAGGTGAACACTGTGACACTGATGTGTCAAATGCAATAATGGTTACTCACAGTGGACAGTGTTTGGTGGAGCTCCCTGATTAAAACAAGCTTGGAAGCCAAAGTGGTATCCACTTCCATATTAGCTTGCCTCTGGAAACCCTATGAACATGGAGAAACTATGCAAGTTATACAAGTGTTCAGGTCTTTCGTTCATAGGGTCGCTATAAGTCGTCTACAACTCGATGACACTTAACAACAAGCATATACTTACATATACTTCCTATTACATACATCATTTATATGCATAAACTTAAAACTGACAGTTACGTGGAACCAGAAAGTATATCCACCGATTATAAATATTTACAAATAGCGCACATGTGGAAATTTCATTTGTGCTCGATAACCGTATCACATACAGGCCTGACGTCAGGAGTGACTAGTTCCTGGAAAAGGACATCATGATTAGGAAAGTGCCGTCCAAGGAGAATGAACCTCAACAAGATGGACTGGAGTGACCACACTGGTGAGCACAGCACAGACCATCAGGACAGCATGGGAGGGGCCAGGGCTTCGTTCTGTTTGGACTTGGGGTCTCACGGACGACTCGACAGCTCCAAACAGTAAGAGGAGGACTGTAAGTGGTTTGGGTTTTTTTCTTTTATGGAATGATACCGTCTTTTAAAAGTTGAAGACGGGCAAAAAAGTAACTGTTTCACAGAAGATGAAAAGGTGAAGCACCTTAAACTGAAAGACAAGCAGAGAATTTTCTAGCCGGCCAGCCAAGTGTGAGCCAAAAAGCTCCACCGCCTCCCAAGCAGGAGCTGGCAAACCTTTCTGCGAAGAGCTCGTGGTCAATGGAAACACTGAATGTGGCACATGATGGCACAGGGCAGCTGGGGCTCTATCACAGGGGTAAGCTTAGACCCACGGAAACCACCACACAGGCGAACCATCTGCCCCTGGCGAGGTGCCCAGGACTCCTCTATGTGCACAGCTACCCGGCCCCGCAGCTCCAGCAAGGACAGTCAGCGCTAAGGGGATCTGTTGCTCAGACAACCGCAGGACCAACGGACCTTGCAAACTGGATTTCCTGCCCAGTGTCACTGCCCGCTACCCGAGGACGGGATAACTACCAGCACGTTATCTGGCACGGCTGGGAGTTTTACTGTTGCATGATTTTAAGTGTTCACATTTTAATTACTCACTACTGAATTTAAACGGAAAATTCAAACTCAACATGGCCAAGTTAGAACACATTCACAGCTGACCCTCCAGCGGATTTTGAGAGGCTGTAAATCACACAGGAGGAGACTTTTCATCCTTCTCCCTCAGAATAATTCGTGGATTCTAACTGCCTGCCTTTGGGTTGGCTGCACAATTGCTCACCCCCCAGCCCACCAGAGCTCCCGACACACATATGCATATTTTTTTTTT